GACATTGATAGTGTTTGTACACATACTACTATTTTTAGAAATGTAACAGCTAAGGATTCAGTTATTGTCGCGGGTCAAGGGGAGGAACAAGTCATTCTCCTAGATTCATACCTTTTTTAAAAAAAAAAATCCGAAACCAAAAATTCTACATTCATGATGAGGGTTTCATCCGGTTTAGTCAAACCGTTATTAGTTTTTGAATTAACGTAGCTGACTCAAGAATTGTTGACAATTTGACTAACGACATAAGAATCAACGAATGTTTTAGTAAAATTATGTTAGTTTGTGTATGAATCGGCTAACTTTTGTCAATCGTGTATGAATCTACACAATTTTATTATAGTTGTGTACATTTAGTAAACCGGAAACTATACATGTATAAAATTGACCGTATCCAGGGGTTAATATGATAACAACTTGCGAAACTCTTTTGTTATTATTTCCGATCTAAAAAAGGGCTGTTTCGGCGCTTTAATAGAACGGTGTTGACAACATGTCTGAAAAAACATTAATCTGATCAACCTAATTCTATTATAAGTGATTAGCGAAATAAAAACCTTTTTCTTAATAACTTAATCCCACTGGTTAAGCAAGCCAGCAAACTAATTAGAGGGAGGCCTCAATAAGCAACATAAGAGAAATTTAAAATGCAAACAAAAAGCAAAGTCAGATAGTATATACTTGAAAACTAGATTTTGAATAAATCCTGAAGTTAGTGGAAAGCCTCTAAAGAGAACTTCCATGGACTATATATATAGAAACATAATCAAGACATAATTAAGCTTAAAGATCTTAACATAAACCTGAAAGATGGTGTCTCTAGGTCTTTCCTTCACCCTAATTTTTGGCTTGGCAATCTTATTCACTGTTGCTGAAGCCAACAACAACAGAAAACTCCTGCAAACTCCCACTTATTACCAACCGGAATATTCTCCTCCTCCATCGCCGAAATATCAACCTCCGGTTACTGTTCCTCCTCCTACTCCGGTTTATTCTCCTCCTCCTACTCCAGTTTATTCTCCTCCGGTTGCTCTCCCTCCTCCTACCCCGGTATACCCTCCCCCTACTCCGGTTTATTCTCCTCCTCCTACTCCGGTTTATTCTCCACCGGTGGCTCTTCCTCCTCCTGCTTTTAAAGCTAATCCTGCTCCTCAAGCTTACAAAGCCTTCTACTACAGGGCTTCTCCTCCACCTCCTCCCTCCAGCAAACCTTGGTGGTGGTTGTTGTAAGGCGTTAAGAAGGTGACTCAGGACAAGACATTTGCAATGTCTTAAAACATTAAGAAGTGTATTACTGTTGTGTTAACATGGTTTTTGATGTCTCTTTACTTTTCCTTAAGGTATTTCACTTTGCTATGTGAGTAAGTTTTATCCGTTCGATTTGTTTAACCTTTTTTGGTTTTTATTTTTCAATCTTCTTGATGTATTATAAAAATTTTCACAGTTCGCGGTACTGACAAAGAGATTAACATAGCTTATACAATACATTACTGAAGAATAAAAGTGTTTCATTATTAAGCACTTTTGTTAAGTGTGTCGTTTTGGTATGTTGATCCAGTCAAATTTGAATAAGTCTTGTTGTCATGGTTTCTAGGAGGCAAGTACAAGTTCTTGCAGGTTGTTTCGGTCAGTCAGTTGTAAGAGTTGCAGGCCTTTATAAGTGACATGTTTTGTCCTGGTTTTATACAAGCAATAAGAGAATGTAAATCTTCTGTCGTAACTTGTCTCTTCCTCTCCAATGTTCTGTTCCAACAAGTAGTACTCTGTTCCAGATACAACAATTACACTATATGTCTACACCATTAATGACGACTAAGGTTCTTTGATCATTATTTCGGAGAAATCCATCATACCTAGACGGTATATTGTGTCCCATAATCTACTATTTCATTTCCGATTCTATACCATTGATAATTGATATGTACTCAATCTATTCACAATATATTGACATATAGGTACGTTCTTTTTCATTTTAACCATATACATTGTTACACACATTGTATGGTTTTATTACCACGAATACCATCATATAGAGACGAAATCACGAAACTGTCCTAATCTTCATAATGATATCGCGAAATTGTTAATTAGCTCCAAGGATAATGGTGGACATCATGTTGAACATACTCATTCCACCACTCATTGCCATATTGTTACTAAAAATATGGTCTTCCAATCAATGCCGGTCTTGAGAATATGAGGGCCACAAACAAAAGAAAAAAATAGGCTGCAAGCCCAAACTTGGTTAGCTTGGGTTAGCCCTGATTCCAATGTCTCAAGTAGCAGAGTCCATCCTTCTTAACGACCCAAGTGCATTTCTCCTTGTCCCCACACTGTTCTTTCTTTTCCCAATGCCGCCACTAGCTGCTTGTCCACTCCCTGTGTGGAAGTTGCAATGGAAGAAAGTGTGGAAGAGTGACATGGCGAAAGATCAGTCCTTGTATTGCTCTGGCCAGTTATCTCTCCACCCGAAATCGTGTTGTCTCGGGACCAGCATTTGTACACAAGCCTTCTGTACCGACCCGAGAGTTCGTTCCGGATCTCTAGTTGAAATCCATGGGAGTGAGTCACCATCATTATGGTGATGATAAGAACAAGAATAAAGTGCCCATTTAAGGTTTTGGGAAAAAGATTAGTTCTTCATATATATATATG